ACACACACACATATATATCTTTAAAAGGTAAAGATATATATATATATATACATATATATATATATATACACACACATACACACACACACATATATATCTTTAAAAGGTAAATATATATATATTCTTTTATTGTTTTTTATTTTATATAAATTGTATTTAGATTTTTATCATCTACATAAAAATCTAAATAAAATGTATATAAAATATAGAAAACAATAAAAAGAAGAAGAAAAGGAAGAAGAAATTATTTCTGATTAAAAATCATTGACTTCGATATGGGTCAATTTGACCCCCATTATTCAAGTTTCTTGAGTCATGCATTCTAGGGTTAAAGTTTGCAGCTACTTTATATAACATGCTATTTGCTGACTTGACTCACCCGTCCACTCTCTGCAGCCACTCTTTGGGCTGCTTCTCGGGCAATAGCCTTGGCCACAGTGTCAGGAATGAGTGTACCCCTGGGCTGGGGGAGGATCCTTTGAGGTGACGGGGAGCGGTGGTTCGGGAAGGCCGGGGCATCCAGGGTGTGTCCATGTGGCAGGCCTGTGGGCATGCCTGATGGGGAGCAGCCAGGCTTCCATGGCTGAGGTGGGCCCCCTCCATGATGAAGCATTCCTGGCCCTGGCTCTTTGGTTTCCAGCTCTCTGGCACTTAGTGGTCTTTGGGGTTGGGGAAGGGGCAGTTGGGGAATGTGAGGCTGGGGCATCGGGATAGCTGGCTGGGGTTGATGCATGGGGATGGCTGGCTGGGGTTGGGGCATGGCCATGGGCTGTTGGGGCTGAGGCATGGGTGGCTGGGGCTGGGGTTGGGGCATGGGCATGGACGTCTGAGGCTGGGGCATTGGGATGGTGGGCTGGGGTTGAGGGATGGGGTGTGGTGGTAAAGGCTGGAGGTGAGGTGGAGAGGGCTGTGTGGGATGGGGCATACGGTGGGGATGGAGATGAGATGGGGGCTGGTTAGGGCGAACGGGAAGGGGTTGGAGATGGGTGGGTGGTTGTGGTCCAGGGTGAGGGGGAAGGGCCCGGATTTGGGGATGAGGAGGCATTGGTTGGGACTGCTGGGGTGGGAGAGGTGATTGTATGTGGTGAGAAGGAGGGAGGGTTTTAGGAAGAGGCACCAGCAGGTGGTTTGGAATGACGGCGGCATGGGAGTCTTGAGATTCCCCTTGTGCTGATAAAGTCCTGACAATAACTTCATGGGCCTCCAAGCACTGGAGACGGTTCAGTTCTACTGCCGCATAGTCTGCCAGTGGATACAACACCTCAGCAATCTGAAACAGCATTAGTATTAGCATTAAGATTACGTGACATTTACAGTTATTTCGCGAATTTTTGCAGGCAAAATTTGGTAATTTGTATAGGAAACAATAGATAATGGACCTTTTTTTTGCGACTGCATGTGGCCGCACCTTTAGAATCAACATTCTCCTCATTAATCATCCAAATAACGTAACAAAAAGACTGTTAGTATGAGAATCTTTCATCACCTAAAACCACCATAAACAATGAATTCAAGTGTTTAGAATCACCCAACTCCACCAACAGAGGGCATCAGTATCCCTTTTTGATAAAAATAGGTCTTGATGACTCTTGTTTAGCCTTCATGCGGTCCAGAACTGTTCTGTCACATAAACATCACCAGATATGACTGCTGATGCATGCAGATTCTTACCCTCTGACCCTTTGTGCACACTGCGTAGCCAATGACATTTGCACCATTGGAGGTTCCCATGGGTGTCATTGGAGGTGGCTTCCAACGCACTTGGAGGACTCCTGGGGCTTGTCCACACTGGACCTGGACTTCTTGAGGAGGTAGAGGGGGTCCTGGGGAGGGGCAGATAACCACCAGTTAGTTACAGTAACACAACTGACACTATAGACATTATGTTTAGAAAGGATTGTGTTCACTGCATTCATTCGCTTGAACTCAAGTGTACAGTAATATGGACATTTCAACAGCTTCACAGCTGAATAATGGCATAAGGGCAAGCATTACTTCCAACTGCCTGAGCATTTCAGCTAATTAATTAATCCAATTAGCTTCACTAAACCCATTTCTGTTGCCTCTGACTATTTTAAGTGGAGTGTTGTGCTAATCAGAACAACAAAAATAGCTGTTTTCTGTCTTTTTTGCATATCAAAGGAGATTGTGTGTGCTATTAGGGTCCAATATGTGTCAGCCTTAGTGGGTAAAAATACAGATTTTCGGATTAAGATTTGAACAATTCTGACATCGATTCTTATAATCCCAAAAAACATTTTCAGTGGCTATGGGAAAATACAACACAACAGTATAGTTTGATTCACAAACAAATGACACTTATAAAACTTGTTTTTTTAAAAGGATAGTTCACCCAAAAAAGAAAATTCTGTCATTAATTACTAACCCTTATGTCGTTCCAAACCCGTAAAACGTTCATCTTCGGAACACAAATTAAGATATTTCTGATGAAATTTGAGAGCTTTCTGACCCTCCATAGACACCAAAGGTCCTACCACGATCAAGGCACAGAAATAGTCCATGTGACATCAGGGGTTCAACCGTAATTTTATGAAGCTACAAGAATACTTTTTGTTCGCAAAGAAACCAAAAAGAATGACTTTAGTCAACAATTCTTCTCCTCCACATTACCCAATAGTGCCATTTTGGAGAGTATCACAACACATGCATGCTTTTCTCTTCTGACTATTCTCGTAGCTTCATAAAATTATGGTTGAACCACTGATGTCACATTTTAACGATGTCCTCCTTACTACGTTTCTGTGCCTTGATCATGGCAGGACCCTTGCTGTCTATGGTGGGTCAGAAAGCTCTCAGATTTCATCGAAAATATCTTAAAGGTGCAATAGATGATTGTCTACAGAAACATTTTTTGTTATGCAGTGCATCAGTATAGTTTGAGCTGGTTCATTAAATTAATAATTAAAAACAGCATTAATTAATATTGGGGCAATATCTTAAAAATTTTAGAGTTGAATCTCACCTGCAGCTTGGGTGCAGAACTCCACCCCAGCCTCTCTCTTCTCTCTCTGTTCCAGAGGCATGTGCCAGGGCACCTGGTGAGGTTTGGCCAACACTTTTACTTTGTACACTGTGGCGGCCTTCAGGTTTACAAAACGCAGTTTGTAAGAGCACGGCTTAACCACGGCATGCTCCACGCCATCTAAGTACACAACATGGGCGTAGTTACTATTACTGGGCAGCCACGAAAGTTCAGCAGAGTCACGTAAAATATCATCCATGCGCAGATAGGTGGGTGCCACCACAACATTGCGGCCCACCAGCAAGGTGCAGCGCAACTCATCAGAGAGTCCCCTGTCCGTCACGCTCTGTACCGACACACGGTATGTGCAGGCAGCCAGGTCCAGCTTTTCGAGAAGCAGTTTGGTCCTGCCTCCAAATGGCACAGAGGAACGTACTTCCCCATCCACTAAGATATTGTAGCCGTTGATGTTGCCCCAGCCAAGGGGCACTAGAGGCGCTTCCCAGGCCACTATCACACTTCTCGCCAGCTGTTTGATCAGATTGATCTTCCTGGGGTAAGGCACGATGTCATCACTCAGCTCCTCTCCATCCAGAGCGCCTGTCCCGTTGCTGCAGTGGCCGAGGGCGTCGCTGCTAAGGCTGTCCAGAGGAGCGCCTCCATCTATGGTCGCCAGGCTCAGACAGCTCTGCTCCAGCCTGCCCTGCTCCTCTCCACCCTCGATAGATGGCTTTTCCTTGTCTTGGACAAACTCCACAAAATTAGAGGGAACCAGGCCACGCTGGCCATCCAATAGCTCTCCTGGAACAAACAGAAATAGAAAGATCTCATAAGCTGCAGCAGATCTCATTACATAAAATGTAATTGTGATGCATTTTGTAAGCATGTCATTTTAATACATGCTGCCAGGTGATGCTTACTGTCTTAATTCAGTGTTAGTCATCTATGTCAATTATTTATGTCCATTAGCAAATATGTTGTTGGGATTTTTTTAGATGTTGGACAATTGGAGATTCAATTCAAATTCATTCTCCAATAATAATCAGAATCAGAATCAGAATGAGCTTTATTGCCAGGTATGTTTACACATACGAGGAATTTGTTTTCATGACAGAAGCTCCACAGTGTAACAGAATGACAGAGACAGAACAAAACAACACAGATAATAAAAAATAAAATTTAATTAAAAATAGAACAAGTAAATAAGGAATAAAAATTTACAAATCGACAATTTGTATAAAATTGTACAAATAATTACACCTCTTGTATCATAACTCAATTACCTTCATAAAATCCATCATCGTCCATGCCTCCATATACGTACAAATACTTCCCTGCCACAAGAGGGAGCTCTGCTTCTGGATGCTCATTAGGTCCATCATAGGGATTATAACTGGCCAAAAGATCAGATAGTGAGAGGGAAAGAAAACACAAATACAAACACACACACACTTATGCATAAGTATATACATTATATAAGAGTTCACTACTGTTCCAATTGTTGGAGACAGTAAAAATTTGTTTTAATGTTTTGTACATTAAACATTAAATTTTCTTATGCTCACCAAGGTTAGATTTTTTTTTATTGTGAAATATTATTACAATTTAAAACAACGTTTTTTATTTGAATGCAATATAATAATTAATGTAATTTATTCCTGTGATGGCAAAGCAGAATTTTGAGTAGCCATTACTCCAGTCTTCAGTGTCACATGATCCTTCAGAAATCATTCTAATATGCTGATTGGTGCTCAAGCAACATTTCTTATACACACAGTTGAAAACAATTGTGCCGCCTATATATTCTTGTGAAAAACAGGATTGTTTTCTTTTCAGGATTCTATGATATATAGAAATTTTAATTTGAAATAGAAATCTTTTGTTACATATAAATAGCTTTACTGTTACTGTGATTTATTTAATACATCCTGGCAGAATCAAAATATTAATTTCTTTCAAATTAACAAACAAAAATCTTACTGACCCCAAACTTTTGAATGGTAGTGTCTATATACTGTGTGTGTACACTATATATGTATATATATAAATTTGGATAAAAGAGGTAAGAAATATACCTGTATCGGGCAGTGCAGAGACGGACCTGGCCTGTGTATCTTGTCTTGGACCTCGGAGCTGGGCTCACCTCATTGTCCATCTACGGACAGAGGAAATCAGCTGACACACTTGATCCTGATCTTTTCCACACTGAATATCCTAACGTGAATGTACTATGCCAGGGTTTGTGTGAGGATCATTACATAACATCCATTTTTTCCAGTCCTGCTCCCAATGTGCACAGTGCATGCAATGTGTTCATGGATGATTTGATTCATGTATGATTAAGTGCACAGAGCGGACATGATTATTACCTATTTGCATTGATGTCAATCTCACACCCAGGGAAAATATAAGGCTGAAGTGTGTAATTTCTTTGGTGGTGATAGTGTTTTCAAACCGGTTTTGCCATTGTCAATGGTTGAGCCAATTGTGCTGTGTTAAGCTGGCTGAGATGCTCAAACATCTTTTTTGATAGCAGCATCGAGTCAAGGTGTTTACACAATGCAATGTTTTTGCAAAATCAACATACAAATGGTTTACAGTTGAGAGAGGAGAAAATAGTTGAACATCAAAACAATTATTCTTTTCACCTAATTATTAAATGAATTTTGTGGCTCCATTCTTTGGGCATCTAAGCTCTCAGTGGAATAGTGGATTGAGTTTTCCCATAAACAACTGACTTTCTTTCCTAAAGCATCAGACAATCTTCAACATCTGATATGAGGTCATTTATGGATCTAATTATAGAGAGAGAGACCAATTATGCTGAAAAAGCATGAAATTAGCACATTTCTTTTCTCTTGAGTAAAATACAGACAGATAAACAGATACTGTTATCTGCTCGCAGCAACCAGTTAACAGAATGATCACAGTGTAGCTGAGACGCATGACAAACCTCTGCGAGGGATGCTTGCATGGGGCTGCTGGATCGACTCTGGGTTTGGACGGTGGGTTTGACCGACAGCTGCTCTGGCTTGTCTGTCTTGTGTTGCTGTACTATGGGCAGTTCTGAGACCAGTGGAGATCTGTCCGATCTCTCATCACCTGCAAGCATGAGTTATAATGGAAATCAATGACTTTGATCACTGAACAATAGGATGGATCTAAACAAATGGATTTAAATAAATGATGTGTTAAAATATATGATTTACTTATTTACGCATGCATTCATTAAGTAATAACAACTGTAATTTAAAAATGTAATATTTATTTAATATTTATTAAACATATCACTAGAGGTTAATGGTTGGCACTGGCAGTATCAAACATTTAATCATTTCACAATTTCATCATTAAAAGAAATTCATTATAAATATTCACCTTCCAGCAGTTTTTCTAATAATGATAATAATAATGATTATTAGTAGTAGTAGTATTCTTTTAGTATTTAAGAATAGAGTGCTGCAGGGATGATTCCTTTTTTTATGCCAAAACGAGTTAGCATTTTAGCACTTCTGGTTCCATCATCCTGAAGACAGTGGGCTTTTTTGAATGGATTTTTGGTTAAATGCATGAAATAAGGTCTAGCTTATGGTGATTGTATTTAAGCTTAAAAAAGTTTGGTTACACTTTACTTGAAGGGGTGTGCATAAGACTGACATGACACCTTCATAATCATGACATGACACATGTCATGAATATGATGGAGGTTTTATGCATATTTATGACAACTGTCATTAAGTGTCATTCGCTCAGTTATGTCATTTTTAATGCAAATATGACATTATTTGACCTAACCCTAACCTAAACCTACCCCTACCCTTACCCCTAACCATAGCCCATAACAAAGACACATGTCATGAATATGAAGGTTTTTTATGCAACTGTCATTAAGTGTCATTCACTCAGTTATGTCATTTTTAATGCAAATATGACATTATTTGACCTAACCCTAACCTAAACCTACCCCTACCCTTACCCCTAACCATAGCCCATAACAAAGACACATGTCATGAATATGAAGGTTTTTTATGCAACTGTCATTAAGTGTCATTCACTCAGTTATGTCATTTTTAATGCAAAGATGACATTGTTTGAGATGTCTTTGTTATGGGCTATGGTTAGGGGTAAGGGTAGGGGTAGGTTTAGGTTAGGGTTAGGTCAAATAATGTCATATTTGCATTAAAAATGACATAACTGAGCGAATGACACTTAATGACAGTTGTCATAAATATGCATAAAACCTCCATCATATTCATGACATGTGTCATGTCATGATTATGAAGGTGCCATGTCAGTCTTATGCACACCACTTCAAGTAAAGTGTTACCAAATGTTTTTAAAAAAATCATTAAAGTTGTGTTAATTTGTAAAGATTATCATGATGCACAAAACATGTAAGTATCATAAACTTTTGTTGGTCACAAAGCTTGATTTCTGCAATAATTCAAAAAACAATGGAAAAATCTTTTTTTTGCAGCTTTGCAGCACTCTGTTTACTAAAAAATATTATGCATCCTGAATGTTCCCCCTTACAAAAAGCACTATGATTTTACCATGGTACATTAATGTATGAGATAAATGCAATGTGCTGCATGAAAAAGGCTGATAAGCAAAAAAACAAAAAAAACAAGGCATTTTTATTTAAATTAGGGGCATTTTAAGAAATGCCAGAAATTCTAGAAAGGTGTTATTAAAAACTGCTCACAACATTCTGAAATGTCTGTGGTTCGTGGGAGAAAATACACCCCCATCTGTTTGAAAAATGCTTCACTCACTTTTTTCGGCCTGGCGCTGCAGGCTGTTGTAACTGTTGCACAAGTTTTTCTCCTGTGAGTCAGTGTTGAGTGTATCCTCCGCGTCTGACCCCAGGTGATATTTTTCCAGCTCTTTCGACAAAATATTGCACTGCTCACTCTGTGTCCGGCATTTCTGCTCCAAGTCATGAACCTTGACCTTTGAGAGTCCGGGTAAGGAATATACAAGAAAGAAATACACAAACGATGAAATAAAATCATTTATATCATACACAGGAATAAAAACACAGATGAAATACACTGAACTGTAGCAGTAGTTCTCAAATGGTTTTGTTATAGGAACCAGCAATATGCAAAATTACACCCAACAATATGCAAAATTATTAACATAACATGGCTGAAAAGAAAAACGGACTATTTCGTAAACGCATATATAGCAGCATAGTGATTCCCAGCCTAAAATATTGAACAAACACTGTGCAAAATACAGTATTAAAATCCCTGCTATTAGACATATGACCCAGCATTACATAAATTTGTGACAAAATGCTGTAAAGTTTGATCGGATGCTCAGCCCGTGACAATAACAACATGTTATAGGAATAATTTTTTTCTCTATTAGAAGCCTATTTATTCTGATATCCTAAGGGGCATACACACAATTTACAAAATACAAAATCTTTAAACAATAATGAAATTAGTTGTGTGGCACACATCCCTAGTTTTAACTTGAGAACCTTGTTTTTAGAACACTGTGTCATGCATGAGACACTGCAAAAAACAGAGACACTTTCTAGTGGCAAAGGCATTAGAGGTTTAAATAACCTCTGTGTGTGTGCGTTTAAGTGTATTATCTAACCAGACCTTAATACCGATACAGTCACATCATTTCATCAGGTCCTAGTTTCACCCCAACAACAAAAGACCTGATGCAAAGAAGACCTGACCTGATGGAAACCTGATGGAAACTTCATTTTGTTTGTTAAACTCTTAACTCTTTAGCAGCAACAATTCACGCCCACAAAGATGAGTGTAGCAGCAAAGATACTCAAAGGACAAATAATAATGCAATGATTTTAAAGATTTAAATTCCGACATTATTTACTCATCCCTCATGTTATTCATAATGACTTAAATTTCAGTCTGTTCTTCCCACAAAGCCATAACATGGTCTCAAAAATTTGAATGCACAAGCAGCATAAATCACAATGACCACTTTTATGATGCTTTTATAATATTTTTGTCGTCCTATTAGAAGCCGAAAAGTCTCAATTTACTCATATGGAAGAAAATATTAATAAATTCATCAAAAATGTTCCTTTGGAAGAAAGTCAGATGGGTTTGGAATGAGTAAACTATGACAAAAACGTTTATTTATGGGTGAATTATTATTTTAAAGTGCCAATAATAAAATGTTATTTGTATGCCTCCCATGAGAAAAAAAACTGAAATGGAAGGTTACAAAATAATCTCTGAATGAGTGAGTGTGTGTACCTGCATTCTGTCCATATGGCTCTGTTTAAACACAAAAGGAAAAATATATATATAAATCAGAATGACAAGGGTCAGAGATGAAAAATATCACAAAACAAACTAAATATTCAACTATGGAAAAAAGGATAAACTGACTTGAAACAAAATCGCAAGGTATAAAAAAAAAACAATATTAAAGATGGGAAAAGGCAAAAATTATGAAGGTCATAAAAAAAAGGAAACTCTGGAAGGACGCCCCAGGGGCATAAGTTCTCCTCGAAAGTCAAGCTGATAGTACGTGACAAGCAGAAGCTTCTCAGACTGGACTGACTGTCAGACACGGAGGTCTTTTATCAAACACATGAGGTTGCATCGGCCCCTTCTATGTTTATCAGATCATTTGGGTAGACAGTTTCTTTTTGCACGAACGGCAGACTCTGCTGACCAAGCCAGGAGTATAAATTAGGCTTTAGTAGGATGCCATAGGACAGAAGGAAAGCAAGTAGATTATATTTTACCTCTAGCAGATGCACCACTTCTTCATGCTCTTTTTCAGCTTCAGCCTGAACCTGAAAATAAGAGATAGCATATTTAGCGTAGCTGTACAAATGCGATTCCATTCACTCAAACCCGATGAACCCAAATCTCAGAAAGTAACTGCAACGCCAGTAGGACGTTATAATTTCACATTGATCAAATCTTAGATTTGCCAGGATTTGGTTGGCAAAGCTACTTCATCTAATTTCAGACAGATTTATTGATCCCAGAGGGGAAATTTGGTATTTGAAGGACTCACAAAACTGTGAGTCACAGTTCACAGCAGTTACTCATAAGTGAGTAAAATTACAATGAAAACTCTTTGTTTGTAGGCAAACAGGAAATTGAAAGATACAGCCAGGCTATGATTGCCATGCAAGTTGTATCAGCAAGTCATTTGTGCATATATGCCTGTGTCGTATATGTTAGTGAGGTAAAAGCTCTGTCAAACCCCTCCCTAGGGATCTGCACTGATGCGGTGTCTGCTGTCGGCTCTAATTGCTTTGTTTGCCTAATCGCTGCTCCTTCCTGAAAGGCCGCAGACACAAAGAAAAGCAAACAGTTCTGCAGCCATGATCCTATTATGTGACTGCACTGATTTTATCCAGCCCTACTATGCCAGAATATCTATTGCTGCCATGTCAGAAGAATATTTCCTTATTCTTACGTCAACTTCTGCACTGGACTGGAAAAAAATCATAGTGTGTCATGATCATTAGATATGATATAATAAATAACTGATGAAATTATGATGAATAAGATGGTGTGAGGAACTGAACTGGTTCATGGTAGCAATCTGTGCTGTGAAAAGCATTCATTTCAAACTCCTTTGTCTTGCTAAATTCAATTTCATAGCTAGAAAAATGAAATTTTCATATCATAAACTAACAATTAAGACTGAAATGATTAGTCAACATTGTTGACAAAAAAAATTGCAGACAAATATTAAACAAAAAGTAGTTTGATCTCATATGACATAATGTAAAAGGCCTGCAATAATGCAGTTTTACCAGTGTGGTGCTGTAGCGCAAGGCTGCAATTCAGCACTCCGGACTGCAGTCTAATAGAAGAAGACACGGTTATGAGATCTGCAAATGAAGCCGAACCAGTAGAGTGTGGTTTTGTAGTTTTGCAGGTAGTTTAGAGGTAAAAACAACTTTGATATACACAAGCAGCGGTTTAGCAAACATACTGATGTTTAAATGAATATGTAAATATGTGCTGCAAGCTTTTCTCTCAATAACATAATAAACACACAACTAAGATGCCAGCTGTGAGAAAATAGTAGTTAAGAAAGCATCTGATTATAGTGCTGCAGATGTTTGCACCAGCTCTGCAATCGGCACTCCATTAAGTCACGTCACGTTTATTTATATAACATTGTAGAAACTTTATTTTTTCTTTAAAAGAAAAACTTTTACTTCAGGAACATACATTTCAGTGTCACATTACATTAGAATTACAATTTGATTTTCTGCTATAAAGCAGCTCGATATATAATAATATGTATAAAATATGGATAACTCAAAGTTAATGAATTACAAAAGCTGAATAATTGATCAACACCTACTGATTAATCTGTGAAATCATTTATGATTAGTCAATTAATCATTCTAATAATAGTTGGATTAACCGATTATCAAAATTATCATTTGTTGCAGCCTTACTAACAATTAAATTAAAAAAATTTCACATGTCCGCATAAATGACAAAATAACAGCTTGTTAGGATATTACATATAAAAAATATTCTAAGTATTAAACATCTATACATAAAAGGGATCTAAAAATAGTGAGACAGTTTTAACCTTCAAAAGATACAATCTGTTAAATAAATAAATAAAAATCAACCCCTGGGACATACAGTGACTGTAGTTAACGAAACACACACACACGTTTGTGTGTGTGCAGGCATGTTTGAGGTTCACTGAGATTCTTACCTTCTGCAGAAGGTTGATCTCCTGCTGTCTGGAGTTGAGGAAAGCCAAGGCCTTCTCATGCTCTGCCTCCAGTTGCTGCCGCCGATCTGCAGCCTCTCGCATATGCTGAAGAAAAGAAAAACAGAAAGAGGGGAAAAAAGGAAATTAGAATTAGGACATGTGACAGACATTTGTAGAAACTCCTGCTTTCTTAAAGATACACTGTAAAACGAACCATTGATCAATGTTCTAATCTGCTGTTTTCAGGCTGTGGACAAAGATCTGGGAAAAAGCATCATGAATAACCACGCAGGAGCTTTAACAGACACATTAAGTGCAATAGTGACAGTGAATGATGACACCAACAGCCACTGATAGAGCGACACTTGGTAAATACAATATGTTCTGTGAAAATACAGAAAACCGAGAAGGCCACAATAAAAGATGATGAGTAAAAAGCAATAAACAATGTCTAATGGATTGTTTGGATTTGGGTTTCCTTCTCCTTTATTCAAGATGCAGTTAAACTGGACAGGAGTAGGACTGATGCATATCAGATTTTGTGAGGCTTAAAAGCTTAAGCTTATAAGGTTCTCCCCATCTCTCTCACTGTTCTCATCTCCATCCTCTTCAAGGAAGTTAAAGCCTCTTTTCTTTTCTTTGATGACTTTTAAGTTTTAAGTGTACATACACACCTCACACACTCACATGTCTATACACTCAATGCTATTTTATTCATTAAAATAGGAGCAGCTGAAGAGCTTCAGAGGACAGGAACAACTCATTTTTAATTTTTTAAATTTATTTACTTATTGATTTATTTTTAACAAGTGTGCAAAGGAACATAAAATGAATTAGCTACATAATAGCAAATAAAAAGCATACGCTACATAGCTACATCAATTTAAATTTATGTCATTTCAAACCATGTTTTTCTTTTGTAAACATAACAGATATTTTGAATAATGTTTCTGTACACACAGTTGTCTAATGTTATTTTGGACCCCACTTCCTTTAATTGCATGGGAGGACAATACTAATTAAAAAACGGGTATTTTATCAAAACATTATCTTCTTTCTGGTTCCATTAAAAAAAGCCATGGATTGGCATGAGGGTCAGTAATGACAGAATTTGTCATTTTTTGGTGAACTATCCCTCTAAAAATTTAGGATTTCAAATAGATGGAAAGTTCAAAAAGCGCTATTTTTTTCTTTAAAAGAAAATATTTTATTTCAGTCCAGCTGCTGCAACACTATCTGGAATGATTATGCCTTTCTGAGGAGCAAAAGACATCTTCAAACAACATCAAAAAGAATCCAGAAACTTTACAGAAAACCTTGTTTTCTCCTCGACTCGCTGCTATACTATTTCTACTTCTTTCTCCCACCTCATCTCTTCTGTAATCATTTATCGCATAGTCAATAATAAGAAAGGTAGGAGAAATAAATACATATATTTCTCATTTCAAAGATGAGCCGTCGATTTCTTGTTATAAGCGCTGTCTTTCTCTCGAGACACATGACACAAGCAGTCAATAAAGCGACAAGTGCAGGAACACTTTTCATTGAACAATGAGTCAGCAACATGACGCTGACAGAAACAAGTCAGATAAATGAAACATTATTATCTCAGTTGGTATCAGTTTTTCCTTTAAAAGCAAGACCCTACCATTTGGAAATATGATCTTAAACAATACAGATTGCTTATTAGATATTAGAAAAGCTGTCAAAGGGGAAAAAATGAGTTTAATGATATAATAAACAGTCAGTTTACAGTATTTTGCAAGGACGTCTCTGTCCTCAAAACTCTTTCTAAATGATTGGTATTCTTAAGATTAAAGTTTGACAAGCATATCTGCAAAATGTATTGGATGCTGGTTGGATTTGAATCAATAATCAAACTACCATTTAACCAATATCCAACAGTGATCTTACCTTCAGGACCTGTTCAAGGTTCTCCAGTTTGTCTTGGAGCTGAGCCTTCTCCTGCCTGGCAGTGTCTCTCTCTTGACTCACACAACCAAAAGCCTTTCTGAGCTGATCATAGTCTGACTTTACCTACAGAGTAAAAGAGTTGGAAACAAAATGAGGATATATAAACTGTCCTAATTCACAAAAATCCAGCTAAACTTCTATAACTGTCACTTAAACAATGAAAAGCAGAGTTAATAGAGGAACCTTGGCCAGACTTCAGATGTTGGACATTTAATTATGACTACAACAATGGGAAGAAAATGGCTGACTCTGCAACAGTGCTTAAATGCGTTTTACAATGGAACGTGAGAGCATATTGCACACGGAGTGTGGGTCTAAGCAGAATATTTTTTGAAACAGAATTAATCATTTTGATCGATTATTTCAGTGGTTATTTTTCTCTCTCATAAAAGGTGCAGTGATTCTTTCTAAGGCTCGAAACATAACTCTGCGGCACAGTAGGCTATATAATAAAATTCAGGTGATTTGTATGCAAGGCAACAGCTCTAAAAATAAAGATTCAGTGTTCAAAAATGTGTTCGACTTTTTCATTGACTCACGATGCTGGCAGAGCTCAGAGAAACGCAACCAATCACCTGATGAGTGCAGAAGAGAGTCAACTCAGGACACTGTCAAACAGGAATCCATCTACCAATCAAAATTTACCACTCAATATATCACACACTTGTGGCGGCATCATTCTGGCACACGCCCATACTCTTTCTCATTTATTAGCACACATTTCATCCGTTCAGGCTGAGAGAAACGGGGATGTTGATTTGCATCTCATATCGATCTAGGATTGGTATATGAGATTGTGCCTGGTGCCGAAGTGCATGACAAACTGACCCGTCCCACTTGGGGTTATTTACCTACTCTCCAGTCCTCAGTCTTGTTAGCACCGCTGAATGCTGGGAAATGAGCCTTTGATCATTGAGGGAATGGTAATGGGAGTGGGCAGCGCTACCTGATTAAACAGAAGACATTTTATCACAGACGCTTGTCTGGGGTTGTGACAGATGGCCCTTTTTGCTGTTAGAGGAGAGGAGCAGCCTGCAGATTATTCGGAAAGAGACCGCCAAACCGTGGCACGCTGGCTTGGCAAAAAAAAAAAATGACACTGTTAACACATTGAGTGCCATGAAATGCCATTCTAAGCTGTCCTGTGTTAGAATAATATCCACTTCTTAGCAGATTCGCTACTCACATTTATATCCCTATTCGGGTGTCACTGGATTCCCTTCACAGTATGATCGAGTTTAAATCTTTCACTTTATGATCATCTCTAATGTTCATTTGGGCATGCTTGTCACATCACGGAGGCCGATTTCAAACCATAATAAATGCATACAGGCAAAGCCCTATAGAGTTTGATTGAACAAAATCTGGTCAAAACAAACAAGGTGGATATATAGACCAGAAAGGGATGTGATAAGATCAATACTGCCGATGAGATGCAGAGAAGAGCCCTTTGGGCACATTTTCCTAGAAGAGCCATGTAATGAGCAGTCATTGATCTGATGAGCTCAGTTGGCATGTGATGCTGACCATCTCTTACCTTCTCATACTGTGTGGCCTTCAGGATGTGACTAAGAAGCTCACGATTGAGCCGTTTTCTCTCCAGCAAAGCATCCTGAAGCTCATTCTTCTGTCAAGAGGAAAAAGAAAAAAGGAGTCAGCTCATTGTCATCAACTATCTATCTATCTATCTATCTATCTATATATCAACAGTACCAATGAGAAGTGCAGCTGCAGAGAAATACTATTTTAGACCAAGACATCAAGCTGTATCATCCAAAGATAAATATATAGATCTCCTTGTGAACAACAGGGTGCATATATGTGACTGATTAGAGAATTCATAAACCCATGGGCGATGAAAACACAAATCTCTTTAGCCAATAGGGAATGAAGATGGGTGCTCATTTTGTAATTCATTCATTCTGTGTTTAAAGAGCCACCCAAATCTCAAAACCTCCAGCACAGCGTGTATGAAAAATTAATCAATACTTCATGGAGAATGGCACTATGCAGCAATTACCACAGACCAGGATTCAATTTGTTGGTAGATTACCTTTTTAATTGGATTGAGGCCATTTATGCTTCTTTTCCGAAGTGTATAATTTTTTTCGCCACTAGCATCACTAAATGAAACTGCAAAAATAATGAATGTTTTCAAACAGGTTTCCCAAACACTCCCCTCTCTGCCATTGATCGGATACTTAAACAGAGCCCCGCCCCATACTCACACCATTAAGCCAATGTTTCAATGTTGGCTGGTTCAAAATATCTAAATGTTTTGAATGCTACAAAGCACCTGAATTTTTAGTTTATGTGGGAGTCAACCAACAAATAACTTACAGATGTCTCTTCATATTGAAGGGATAGTTCACCCCAAAATAAAAATTCTGTCATTAATTACTCACCCTCATGTCATTTCAAACCCGGAAGACCTTCGTTCATCTTCAGAACATGAATTAAGATATTTATGATGAAATCCGAGAGCTTTCTGAGCCTGCCTAGACAGCAACGCAACTGAAACGGCCCAGAAAGGGAGTAAGAACATCGTTAAAATAGTCCATGTGACATCAGTGGTTCAACCGTAATTTTATGGAGCTAGGAGAATACTTTTTGTGTGCAAAGAAAACAACTTTGACTACTGATGTCACATGGACTATTTTAATGAGGTCCTTACTACCTTTCTGGGCCTTGAAGTTTTCAATTGCGTTGCTGTCGATGCAGGGTCAGAAAGTTCTCGGATTTCATCAAAAATATCTAAATTTGTGTTCCGAAGATGAACGAAGGACTTACAGGTTTGGAACGACATGAGGGTGAGAAATTAATGACAGAATTTTCATTTTTGGGTGAACTATCCCTTTAAGCTAGCATAGAATTTAAAATGTAAAACATTGCAAACTTTAGGTTTAAATAATATTTAGAAAAAAAATAAGAAAAAGACTGGCAATAGGCAATGAGAAAGGCATTGAAAATCATCTCACTTCTGAGCAGACAAGTTGTATCTCACTGCACTATATCTACCCATAAATGCATGAGAGGAAGTTCAGAAAGTCATTTCAAACCCCCTAATTTGACTGTTCAACACAGCTGTCCATCTCGTGAAGTTTTCAAAGTGCCACACCCTGGCTGAACTCTGTGAGCATCTCTGACTCAGCATCCTGTCCCGTCCTGACTGGCTCACATGTCACAGTATATCAGGTGGCAGGTTTGCTCAACAGCAACTAGAGGAGCATTTGAACTTTCTTGTCAGAAGCCCTGTCTGTCAACCACAGCATCACCCCGGACAAGACAGCTACTGCACACGAGGGCAGTGCACACTCCGCTGCCTGCAAACGGTGACCACCGCAGACCTCCCGTGGGATCACGTGTAGCATATCCGCATATACATTTGGGAACATTTCAGCCATCATGTTCTATTACCTCATATGAATGGACAGTCTTTAACCTCTGCTCAAGGGACCTTTAAGAGGCAGCTGAACTGGCTGCTTACTGCTGCGCAGTCACGGCTGATTAAACGCAGCTTTAATGTGGTAAAGATTAGACTACCATGGGATTATCAACTGAAACTCTCACAGGGGTGTGAGTTAAAGCAGCGGCACGTATCATACCCAGGAATCCTTCTTCTGATTTCAATATGGATGGATCAAGAAGCAGAACGGCGAAAGGAAGCGGCGGTCTTGGGAAGAGAGAGAGCGAAAGCGTGCCACAAGAATGGACTAATTTGAGCAGACATGGCTGCCTGATCCCCACCCTCCAGTGTGGCCCCTGGTTCTGCAGCTGCTCAGAAAAGCTTTGCTCATCCTTCCACATCATTCACTGAGATGAGGCTCTTTACATGGCCAACCACTGCAGCATTGTGGATGTATATAGGGTGTGTGGGTGTTGTTATACAACCACAGACATATTACAGGAGAAACAGAACTCAGGGATACGGTAAATCTGTGGGTCAAGTCGACCTGTGAAGAGATTCTCATTACATTTCAGTTCCGTTAAATCAAATGAACTGAGCACATTTTTCTGTGTTAAATCCAGACGATGTTTAGATCACGTTTGCAAAAAAAAAACAAAGACACCATTACTGTATGTAGAAGTAATTTAAAATATTGTGTAAAATATTATATAAACATAGACCTATAATAATAATATATAAATAAAACAATTATTATAATTTATATAATTATAACATTTATGTTCTTAAATTAAATAAATAAATTACTTCTAAATACTTGTGAATAGCCTTGCAGTACTTTTTCCAATTTTATAACAATAAACATTAAAAATGGATATAATGTATGGGGGGGGGGACACCAGATTAGGTACAGTAGCATTGCAAAAATATCCATTAATGAAACAAAAAATAAATTTGTTTATTGTACTTGTGTAAAAACTGAAAATAAGAGATAAGATTATTTACTTGTCATGCTAGGTTCATTTTTATTGTAGATTCAATTCAATTCAAGTTTATTTGTACAGCGCTTTTTACGATACAAATCGTTGCAAAGCAACTTTACATAAAATTACGTTTCTACAATATGTAGATACTCATTTATCACACATATTTCACTGATTTACATGAAATTCAAACTGCAACATTTGGAAAAGCAAGTGAAGAACATGAAAACGAGAGCAAAGTGAAAAACAGCATAAGCATACAAAAAATAAAAAATATGAGAATAAAATGTCTGAGAGCACAAAAAACTGAGAAATATAACCAAGGAAAACATGATTTTGTGTGAAAGTCGAACAGTTTTGCATGAATATTTCAGTTTTGTGCAATATGATTTTAAATGGGTTTAAAGTTTGATTCATACTTTTTTTTTTTTCATGCGTTATTCAATTTTTTTATTTACGCTTATTATTTTTCTATCCGTGACTATTGTTTGCTATTCTGAAAACGTTGCTTTTATTTTTACATTCTGTGCAATATATTTTTACTTGGATTTTTAAATTTTGGTTTCACGCTTATTTTTTTATCCGTGACTGCAATACTTTTGGCAGAAAATTGATCCCATAAAAACGT